CGTTGCCTTGGCCTAGTCTCAGTCAATTTCAAAACGTTCACAATTGATCAATTGATTGTTTAATTGATCGATTGATTGTTCAATTGATCGATTGATTGTTTAATTGAACAGTCAATTTAATCGTTCAAACGTTTAATTGATCGACTGATTGTTCAGTTGAACAGTCAATTTAATCATTCAAACGTTCAATTGAGCAATTAAATAACGAATTGCCAAATTAAATCGCCGAATTGACGAATTGGCAAATCAAAGGCATGAATACTGAATAAGCGTATTGAATCATGGAATGGAGCAATTGCCGAGGCTCGTCAATCGAGCAATTGCCGAGGCTCGTCAATCGACGAATCAAACGTTTGAATTGTGACACATATCCCCTCCCATAGTTGGAAGCCCGACGAAATTCTATTACGAACGAAATTCCCTCCAGTGGTTGCAATCTCTGAGTTATTATAACAAACTATATGATTACTGTTCAGGTTACGTTATACCCGTTAGATTCCCGCTATTAGATCTCCTTAAGTGGTACTTTAGGCCCAGTAGTTGGGCATTAATTGCGAAAATGCTTTAGCATTTTTTATGAGATTTTTAAATGCTGGGCCGAATACTTCAAAACTGTGAGCGTATTGATACAGTATTGGATAGGTACAAACCTGAAAGTCTGAAAGAGGCCAAGCGTGAGAAAATGGGTGAGAGTGCACAAGAATATCACGGAAAACGCTGTCGATGTACGTTGACGTATTTCTACATGACTCAATAAATAACAAAGAAACCCCCTCTTGGCCATCAAACAGGATAGCATAGTCCGCATTAGGACTGATCAGTTAGGAGAAGGCGGAATTCGGGTATGCCTGCACATTACGGATGCTGCGAGAAAGGCGTGCTATGATGAGAGCCAGTTAGCACAGTAGACACCGATGTTGTGGTCATTCTTAACAACATGGACACACAAACGGCAAAGTTACGCCATACTATTTAGCTTTGGTTAGTATTTAGCAAGTGCATGAACATTCGCCACATTCATATCCATCATTAATGGTATTAAATTCGTCCACGAGGGCGATTCTATTCTTCTCATGTCTTTACCGAGTCGATGTTTTTCGGTTTAGATCCTGTGCATTACGTGATTACGTAATAGGTGCGGGTGGAGCTCAAACTCCACGACAGATGGCGCTCTCGCTCTGGCTCAATTCTACCTGAGTGTATTATCCTGAGTGTGGGAAGGGGCACTGCATGCAGTTTGGGTGGAGCTACGTCACAGTTCAGTAGTCACGTGACCACCAGCAGAACGCCGGTGGAAACAACACGATCGCGTCACTGGCGCCCATGGGATCACTGCATAACGATACGAATTATCCGTCACTTGGTTTGGAAGTTTTAATAAGACTTAGTTTTTTTCATGATATTTCTTCTAATATGCCTTACGAGTATATAGATAGCCTTTCTGTAGCTATAATTATGACATTATGTAAGATACATATGATACATAAGATACATAAGGTAAATATTTTAAGCTATTCTTATTTGTATTTGTTTGCTTTGCATTAGTTGAATAAAAATTACCCCAGGTCTCGTGAAACAAAAACAAAGTCCAAGATTACACATGCGCACGCACACACACGCACACGCACACGCACACACAGTGACACACTCACACGCACACGCACACGCACTCGCACACACACAAGGACACACAAACACGCACGCGCGCGCACGCGCGCACACGCACGCACGCACGNAAAAACAATACCCTCCGCTACACTTCGTGCGGAGGATAATGAATTATGGAACCCTAGCTGAGCTTTGCCGCGTAGTGCGCATTATAGTCAGCACTGCATCATACATATGATATGTTCAAAAGATCATTTGTCGTGCTGATAGCGAGCGAATTGACTTGACGGTTATCTGTTTGCAAACACACCCATTTCAAGTACACAAAGTAATCTGTTCAATACATGTCCTCGTGGGGACTGCGTGCGTATTGTAATCGACTAGAGAATTATAGACCGTATAAGCAAAGTCCACGGTACGCGCATCACTTTGACCCTCCAATTTGTACTTTTCATGTCTAGCTGCTAGCTGCTACCCAGAACTACAGCATTTAAATTTTCTTGGTAGAGTATCATGATAATTAAGCATGTTTGCAATATATATAATATATATATATATCGTGCGCGCGTTGTGTGTGTGTGTGNAATTTTGATAGTTTATTCATTAGCAAATACAGCATGCTTCATTTATAAAAACTAGCCATTTGCGGCCCGTGAATAGTAAATCAAAAAGTATAATGGAATTATAAAATGTAGAACAGACAGTTAATAAAACAGGGCAGTACGTGTATGTACTTCAGGTGCGTAGCCGAGTGGGGGAGGGGACGAAGACCCCTCCTCGGGATCGGAAGTTCCGCTCAAATGTATAAAAAAAAAACTATTTCGAATTCCAAATACCGGTGGTGGTACGTAGAGTATTAAGACAAATTAACAAAATTAGCAATAATGGAAAGTTCCGTCGATCCTCTACTATTATCCACTACACGTATATGTGTATATATCATTCCAGCAGTATTTTGAGAATAAAGTAAGAAATATTTAATTTAGCATTGTGTAAAGTTTTTATTTATTTCCAAAAAAATTAACCGTTTCAAACCGGGTCCAAGTAACAGTCACTAGATTAGTTTAAATCCTTAATTTAAACTTTTACAAATTAATGACACCTAAATTGAGATTTAAGGAATTAAACTGTATTGATTAATAAAATAAACTATTAGAATCCAACTATTTATTTGAATTGGAAGGCTGGGTAAACACTCCAGTAATTTTAGTTCCTGTCTTTTTAAACGCGTACCTCCCACTCGTCGTATATTCTTTAGGGAATGCCGTCTATCGTATATACCACACAAAACTGACCGATGTTAGTTGGGGTAGAGGCTATATGATTTTGTTGTATATTGAACCTTCAAATTCCGTGAACCAACTATTGACGTAAAGCTGCAGTGTTGCTTATTGTGCGCTAATGATTTCACGAGCAACCAGCGACATTATTCTGAGCATTTATTTCCCAAAAGCCTTGCCATCGATTCATATGAGGTAGAACTTCGATACCGATGGATATTACGTATCGATAAAACTAGTGCGAATGAAAGGTTCATATATGTGTTAATGAATCCATATCGTGTATTCTCTAATAATGCCTGAGATTGGCGGTATCAGACCAGTGGAGAGCTCTTGCACAACATAGAAATGTTTCATATTCGCTGAGCCTGTTACTGAATAGAGTACGGCATGAATAGGCACCTAGAAGAGATGATTAAGGTATTGGTGCCTATAATGGAACTTATACCGATTGAATCGCCCGGAAGAAGCGTACATGAAATGTTCGAAAATGTTGTCTTTAGTAAGTTGGTAGTTTTCTTACAAATGATGCATCCTATAATTATTATGGTTCAACAAAAGCTTACCAGGCTCTATGACTGTACGGTGTACTACACTTATGGCATACGCAGTAAATACCCGGACGGTTACTTGTGGCTAAATCCACTATAGCTAAATTATTATAGTTCCAGAGGTGTAGGTTTTCAAGTATCAAAATACCACATATATGCCGCAACTAAAAGGCTATTCGTTTGTCAACATAATTCCATAACATCTTATACAAGTTGTTATAGGAGATACCTATATATGTTTTCAGTATTATTAAAAACACATCATATACTAGCGTATTGATATATTTTGGTGTTATCAAATTCAATTTTATGCTTATATCCGAGTTATTCTTTACGTTGACGTGAAACGTACTATTCAATTGAAATGTATAAAGTAGCTGTAGAAATCGATACACGCTACACATGTACTATCTTTGTTATACCCTTGCATATCTATGCATGCCCTTCACAGAGGCGATAAGCTACATCAGTAAAGTCGGCGACTACAATAGGCTCATGATCACGCTTAAAGTGAAAGACATCAGGTGAGAACAGGTGAAAATGAATATCTAAAAGATCTATCTAAGTCATCTCGTCTGAATTTCATTCATCATTATCAATATCATCTCCACCACCACCACCACCACCGCCACCGCCGTACTAGTACTAGTATTAGACGACTTCAGCGAATTGACGAGTAGGCGATGGCGATTAGACGATGGTGTCTTCTTCTTCTTCTTCTTCTACTGGACAGTCCGTAAGGAATAAACGTCCAGGGCTATAGCTAGCCATGGTGTGTGTGACCTAGCTTGGGTACAGCCAGGTAGTTAGCTTTTTTTTAGCCGAATGGCACTGAGGGTGGTCACAGCCAGAGTTTTTTGCGCCCTCAGTGGTTCTTTTACGTCCCCATTGGTCTTAGTATTACTATTACTATATTTACTAATACTGGAGACGGGACCGCCATTTTACGTGGTCATCCGAGCCACGGGAGATTTACAGTCTCC